GGAGAGAACATGCAAACTCCACCCAGAAAGGGCCCCCGGACCAGGATTGGAACCAGGGACCTGCTCGCTAAGAGGCAGCAGCTCTACCAGTTGTGCCACCGTGCTGCCTGGAAATGATCATATTAACTAATTTTAAAATAAATACTGCAAGATGATACATTTATGGGTTTCACATTTTACCCTTGTGAAGGTAGAAGTTGAAGTTTTCCCTTCAAGACAAACTCTGTTATTGAGAGACGTGGCTCACGTGTCTGTTTCATAGATTTGAAGCTGTATTGTCTGTATCTGTATGGGAGTGGTGGTGCAGAGGTTAGAGAAGGTGGGCCTGTGATCGAAAGATCGCTGGGTCAACTCCCGGTACCGACAGCATCAAAATGTGGGTGGGATTGGTGAAGCTCCACCCTCTACTCCATTCTGTCTCCACCCTCATTTGCCCCATTCTGGGCCCTTGAGCAAGGCCCTTAACCCCCACCATCTGCTCCCCCGGGTGTCCTAGATAGCAGCTCTCTGCTCCACACAGAGGGCTGTGGTAGCTCGGTGGTTTGTGGTTGCGTCAAGAAGGACATCTGGCGTGAAAACAATCGCCAAGTCTTCGTGCGACTTAGTTCGATGTGGTGACCCCTGAAGAAGGGAGCAGCTGAAAGAAGAAGAAAAAATTGTCAGTATTTGTATGAACAAAGACCTTTTATGATGAAACATCCATCCATTACCTTTACCTGCTTCTTCCTTTTCGGGTCATGGGTGTCACTGGTGCCCATATCCAGCAGTCTCTATGCAAGAGATGGGGGACACTCTGGACAGGTCTCCAGTCCATCACAGGGACACATAGAGACAAACAACCATTCACTCTCTCACTCACACCTAGAGACAATTTAGAGTTACCAGTCAGTCTAACACACGTTTTTGGCCTGTGGGAGGAAACTGGAGTACCTGGAGAAAACCCACGCATGCACGGACAGAACATGCAGACTCCACCCAGAAAGAACCCGAGCTGGGATTTTATCCGGCAACCTTCTTGGTGAGAGGTGGCACTCATAGATTTTCTTTCAGAATTCACTGAAAAGCTAACTTGATACAATTTGCAGCTAGACATATTACTGTCTTAATTTTAGTTTTGTTGAGCTTGTATTTGTTGTAGAAATGTTAGTTTCCGCATGTCGTGATGTGTTCAGGTTATTTAACTGGTGATGCTGGGCGCTCCTTTGGTTTCTGTTTCTTTTCCTCATGTAAATGAGTTGTCTGATCACTGCAAACAACTTGAATTATACATGCACACATAAAGAGAGGCGTCTCCTCGATGTGTTTCCGTACGCCTTCAACTTAAGGTGAAGTGAAACTGAAAGTCTCCCTCTGGGCTGCATAATTTATTAATTTATTTATTTTTGTTTGTTTGTTTGTTTCCTTCCATGATTTTCACAGCATTTAAAACAAACCCTTCCTTCAGCTGTGAAAAAAGACAAACTTTGAGTTGGGACTTCTTTTTTTAATAAAGGTCAGCTGCGTGTCCTGAAATATCCACAAGATTTTTAAATTTTGTTATTTTACAAGTGTCGACTATAGCAGCTGAGTTCACCCATTAATTTTCCAGTCAAGTTTAAGGTGTAGTTTGACAAGAAAATATATTCAGACAGTACTTTGGCACTCATGGTTTAACATTTATGATCATTTAGCAGCGCTGCACCACTCTGTGCTTTTATATAAAAAGCTAAAGCTAGATTAAGATAAAGATAAAGCTGCTCCGCTGAAAAATAAAAATAATCAATCAGAGGAGATTAGCTCTTTGTTCAATTTTGAGTTACGTACTTTAAAACAGACATCTAGAAAGCTGTAATGGAAATGGTGCTCCACTAACGTTGAGGAATTTTACTTATCCTGGAGAGATAGCCTGCTAACATACAAGAAAGTGATCCGTAAAGCTAGAACTTTATATTATTCATCTTGAATTGAAGAGAATAAAAATAACCACAGGTTCTTTTTCAGTACCATAGCTAGTCTAATGAAAAATCCTCTCTCTGTTGATTCATGTATCCCTACAACTACAAGTAGTAATGACTTCATGAGATTCTTTATAAATAAAATTGTTTCAATTGGGAAAAAAATCAAACCAACATTCCCAGTATCACCTCTGGTTCTGTGTCAGATGTGACAACTTTAAAAATGTCACTCGACCCTGATTTATGCTTGGACTGTTTTTGTCCTGTTGAGCTCTCTGAATTGTCAAAAGTAATAGCTTCATCCAAACCATCCACATGTCTGCTAGATCCCATCCCAACCAGACTATTGAGGGAGTTTTTCCTTTCCACTATCGCCTTCATGCTTGCTCAAGATGAGAGTTTTGTGATGGCGTTAAATCCAAAGCAGTCTGCTCCTCAGATAAATGGTGTTAAATTATTATTTTATATACAGTATATGAATGTTTCTGTTCGGTGCCCTTTGATGACTTCTGTTGTGACTCGGCGAAATGTGACTGAATTGAATTGAATTTATTTCAATTTGCCAGGAGTCATCTGATCCTGGTTCCTGCTCCATTGATGCGAGACGATCATAGAAGTTCCTACCAGAGAGGATGAGACACATCAGCTTCTCATTTTGTTATTGCCCTGAGCGTATTGAAGGGCATCCTCTGGCACAGGAACAGAGACTCTTGTTTATATCAAAGCAGTCTGTCGATGGGGATTTGTGACGCGCAGGAGGACCAAAGCCCTCGGAGGCTTAATGGCCAAACAAGTTCAGAGGATAATTTGCCAGCAGCTCATTGGTCTGAGGTCGACTTTTTTGCTTTTATCTTTCTAGTAATAAACACATGCAGGCAGGTGATGAGTTGACTCCTGCACCATTTGACTTTGTCTTACTGGTGGGTTCTTGGCTGGCATCAGCTTCCCTCTGTGGGACAATGCAATAAAATCAATATAAATTAGTTCCGAGTGAGCACCTTTTGTTTTCATAATAACATGCTTCTATCCCGGTGGATTAGTCTTTTAAATGCAGTCCTGTCAGAGTGGCTGCTGTGTAACAATATTTTTTCTATAATCTGTGAATCTACCTTTTAGTTAATAATTAATATCCCTTTTTTTGCAATTTACAATGAGCGCTCAGAGGACAGAGTGCAGAATAGATGCAACATAACATAAAACTTACAATTTTAAAAGATTTGAGTTTATTTTATTTGTAATTTCAACAGCATGAAACAGCATCTCTCTCTCTGCCATATGAGTATAAATAAAAATACTGTGTATGCAAATAGGAGCCCAGCACCTTATTTCCTGTGCATTTGCACATTCTGCACAAAAATGTGCAGAGCCAGCGAGGATAAGCTGTCATTTAAAATCTGACGTGACTGATTTGTTTAATTATTTTCTGCCAGACCATGCAGATGTTAAACTGACATTTATGATTTGCATGCAAACTGTCTGTGAAGCAGATTATGTAAGTCAGTGATTCAATTTTATTCATGCCGCCATTTTCAGAGTCAATCACCTTGCAAATTCAGATCACCGCTAATGAAAGATAGAGAGCAAGATCATGTTTTACGAATCAACAGTAGCGCACAGACAGGTTTCTTAATATTTTGCTAAAGCCAAGAAGCAATTTTCACATTCTGAGCCGTTTTAAAAAGTTTGCAAATGACGGTTAGGGCTTTGATTAAGGTTTTGTCTTCATTGGTATAAAGTGTAGCACTGAGATCAGACATGACCACAAAGAGACAACAAGATTGTTGCTGGAGGCAATAAGGAGGTCATTTGTAACTTGTAGCTAAAGCAGTTACAGGACTATGGTGTGTTCTTAATTTAGGCTGAAGCATGTACAAACTGTTGTTCTACAAATGAGGATTTCTTTCTTTTAAAATAAAAGTTAATACTTCCTTACATCCTGATGCATGCTCAATAATCCAGGTAGAAAAATCTAAAAAAGTTAAATCTGGTCCTCTGGGCATTCAAAAATTTTGTTTTGAATGTCCAGAGGACCAGATTTAACTTTTTTAGAGAATACTTCCTTACGTTTTACCCTAAACATACTTTATCCTTTTTTCAAATAGGTGTACAGTAAATGTGACCTTGAGATCAAACTGTGTTCTTCTCATCCAAATCACATTCTGTGGGACCTTATGATACCTCTTTTTCGATTAGCTAATTAAAAAATATTCAAGGCAAAGCTCCTATAGCTCCAGAGTTTTTCTAGTTTTGACTTAAGCTGGGTTGTTTCAAATCCCTGCTTTTTATAAGGAGCAAACTGGTTCCTGAGCTGAGCTCTGCTGTGGGATGCTGTTTGAACTGAGACTCTGGCACCCTGAAAAGGAGGTCATTGAATTCTGTTAATACATCAATGGCTTTTGTGGGTGGCACAGTGGATCAGTTGGTAGAGCCACTGCCTCTCAGCGAGAAGGTCACCAGATCAAATCCTGGCCAGGGACCTTTCTACATGGAGTTTGTATTTTCTCTCCTGCATGTGTGGGTTTTCTCCCACAGACCAAAAGCATGCATGTTAGACTGATTCGTAACTCTAAATTGTCTCTAGGTGTGAGTGAAAACGTGAATGGTTGTTTGTCTCTATGTGTCCATGTGATGGACTTGGACCTGTCCAGGGTGTCCCTCGCCTTTCGCACATCCAGTGACTGCTGGATATGGGCACCAGTGATCCCTGCAACCTTAAAAGGAAGAAGCAGGATGGATGAATGGCTTTTGTCCACTGTGCTCTACTCGTTTTGAAAAGTGTGCTTCACCGTCGCCTGTGTTTACCACAAAGCCCAACCTCTCCAAATGTCATCTTGAATCAGGCTCTGCTCCAGTGCTTTGTACACGAGTCAGGCCGTCTCATCCCGTTGCTGTGTTGAAGGACATGACATTCTAACTTGTGTGTTTATCGTGGGATGCAGAGGTGAAAACTCTCAGCTGCTTTCGGGGTTTTCAGCCATAGTGGTGGAAGATGGGGCATGGGACTTGGGCTGTGTGTTTTTTTTTCTTTGCTTTTTCCGCTCACTTTGAAATTGTATGTCCTTATAGCGTTCCTGCCCTCCCAGTGAAGAATCTGACAGGCTCAGGACCAGTGCACCCAGCACTCGCAGGTGAGACAACTCATGTGCAGCATGTGTGTAAGCTAAAAACTACGATTTTGTAGGATTTGTGTTTGTAAATGTTTTCCAAAACGTAAATATACAACTTATTTTACTGAAGGAAATTTGCTATCACTGTTTTTCCCCACTCTTCTGTGTGTTTGTGTGTGTGTGATCCACATATGTGTCAGGTATGACAGGTATCCTGATGTGCGCTGCAGGTCTGCCAGTTTGCCTGACGCGAGCTCCAAAGCCCATACTGCACCCACCCCCCATCAACAAGAGCGACATGAAGCCCGTGCCGGGGATCAATGGCATGCGCCGCAAAACCAAAAAGAAGCACCTTAAGAGAGGTGAGCAAGACACCCATAGGAAAACTACTATAAATGCTAAGTGCTTCTACCGCATGTCATAGACTGGATAAGAAAGAGACCATGGAAAGTCATCATGGAGTTTTTGTCTGAAACAGTTTTGCACTGTTTGTATCAATAGTCTGTGCGCCTGTTCTTCAGCTTTCAATTAAGATCCTCCCTAATAATCTTAATGCCGTTCTATTTAAGTTCTGCAGTGGTTCCATTTTCTTTAATCTCACCCTGTAAATTATTTCTATAACTTTAAAAAAAGCTAATAGAAGTGTAATTAACGTAAATTTACAAGTAAACGGAGTAGACTGTAATGAAACAATTTTATAGAAGGAACAAATGCACGCAGCTGTGAGGCAAGTGTTGAACAAGGTTGTGTTGTTAACGGCCTTTTAAAGGGGATTGTTTCATTGGACCACTCTAGTAAGTGCAAGCTGTCCTCTCAGTGCACCAAGGGAGACATAATTCTCTTTACTCACATATTTAGGTGTGATGAGATCATGCACTCAGCAGATTTTATAGATTTCAATCTCTTTTATTTCCTGAGAAGAATTTCTGTGATGTTTCATACAAAGGAAGGATAAATGCATCATATGAACTCAAGTCTGGATATTTTGCTACACTCAACTTTACCATGTTCCAATCCCATCAGAAAACCAGTAGAAAGTGACTGGGCTAATTATTGTTGGCAATACAAACGGATAACAATAGCTATGTTTACATGCACAAAATTTTTTGATCGGATTGACATGTATTAAAAAATAATCCAAATGTATCGTTTACATGGACACAATCCGTTCACGACAAGCGTTTACATGCAGCGGCCTTTTATTCTGAATAGAAGTACTGACATGTGCAGAGTGGTAAACTGTCCTTAAAAAAAAACACAGACGAAGAAGTTCTACTCCTGGGATGAATGTAAACAAACCTGAGCGCCCAAAATGGACCCGCGCCAGGTTTTAATGATGGTGGAGACGTTACTGCTCTCCCTGACTGAACTACAGCTGATACAGATCCAACATTTTTCAATCAAGTCATCTGGATAAAGATGACCAGGTCCAGATGACCTGACTGAAAAATGTTGGATTGTATACCTGGATTATTGAACACGGACTTTGTTGTAATACAGATCATTTTAAACTCTTTCAAAGTTTCTAGTAGAAATGTGTCGCTCACCGACCAGTTTTACTTCCCTGACATGCTAACATTGTTAGCATTAGCCAGGCAGCAATATGTCAGGGAGACATAAGTTGCACATGCGCAGTCAGGTCAGTTTTCCACAATCAGAATAAAATGAACAGATTAAGTGTTTGCATGCACACCGTTCAGATTATGAATCGGCATAAACCACCTGTCTCATTCTGATTACAAATTCATTCAGATCGAGCTGAATCAACAAAGAATAATCTGAATGGGGCGTTTACATGACACATTTTTATTCAGAATGGCCGTTTAATCTGATTAGTAATGTCTATGTAAACATAGCTATTGCATCCCTCTGTGTTTTCTGCATTCAAACAAGACTTGATTATTATTTTCCACCATGAAAGGTGATCGTGTGTGTGTGTGTGTGTGTGTGTTCACTTGCTTTATCTTTCTGTTGTCAAAATATCGTATGAACTAAAACAGATTTCATAAAACTCATCTAGAACTGATTAAGGGGAGCGGTGGCACAGAGGTTAGAGAAGGTGATTGGAATGTCACCAGTTCAACTCCCTGTACCGACATCAAAATGTGGGTGGGGAAGGCGAAGCACCCTCGCCTGCCTCCACCCTCATTTGCCTCACTCTGGGCCCTTGAGCAAGACCCTTAACCACCATTTACTCCCCTGGGTGCCCTAGATGGCAGCTCTTTGCTCCACACAGAGGGCTGTGCCAGCTCGGTGGTGTGGTTGCGTCAGGAAGGACATCCGGCATAAAAAACTATCGCCAAGTTTTCGTGCGGGTTTGTTCACTTTGGCGACGCCTGAAGAAGGGAGCAGCCAAAAGAATAAAGTAAAATAAACCTAGAACTGATCAACTTTAGAAGTAAACCTGATTTAAAATGGTCATCACAGCTAAATAACACGGGATAACACATAAATTACTATAAATGAGTAATTTTACAGATATTAAGCTAAAATTTAGCGTGTTAGTAGCCGAGACTCGTCTCCATCACATTACAGATTGTGCAAGTTCTTTGTTTAAAACTGTGGCGTGCAAGACGGCGAGCAATTTGCATTCCTCAAAGAAAAGCTGTTTTCATTCTTAAAAAGATGTACTATGAGTGCAGCCGATTTCAAATAGACAGAAGTGAAAATGAAAAGTTAGTCATTGCAGATGTCCTAACTTTTCTTGTGTAGGGCAGCCATATTGGATTCTGAGATCTGAGCTGGTCATCAATCTCCAACTTTACACGTTGTGATTCTGACTTTGAGGCCCTTCCATTGGATTTTAACATACAAATGGAACACGCTAGAGTAATAATAAAGAAGGAAACCAGTCTTACTGGTATGACCTAGTGGTTTATTGAAACTTACCACTTATCAAGAAAAAATAATAATTAAAGGGTTTGTTCTGAACAGATTTTTATCTAAAAGTTACTGATCTGTGATGAACTTTAAACGTTCTATCAAAACACAAAGGAGGAGATAGTGGTCATGCTAGCAGCTATTTGATGCTAGATAGGCTAATTTCTAACATCAAGACAAAAACATTAAAATAGAACATCAAAGCGTAGCAGGTAATGCTAAACACATTCACAGTGTTAGCTTAGTGTGCTGCATGATGAATATAACTCTAAAATAGCTTTGCAGGTACATGGACATGTTTAAAACAGAAGTCATTTGCTATCCAGAGTAACCTTGAGGTCATTGTCTTGTCCAAAAACATTTTATAACAGATCAGCTTGGAAGGAAAATCAATATATTTTTATTTTATCTTGGTCATATACCCATATTTAATAGATGGGGTATTCATTTAAAAAACAATTCCCAAATATTTGCTTCCATTTGGATCAAAGCTGCAGACCCATTACATAATCTTGCAGAGCAACTGGATTCTTGCCAGATTTGGAAGATTGTAATCGCACAAGAATGCATCCTGCCAAGATTCAAGCTGTGTGTTTGTGGCTCAGGCTCACTTGTTTTGGCCCAAACAACATCCTGTACTGGCAGCTACACTGATTTCAGGTCAGACAAAAGTCAACACTAAAAAATAGAGGCTAAGAAATTTTACGTTGTCACTGCCGAAGCATCTGATAAACACCATACAAACTGCAGCGTGGAGACTTTTTAAAATTTAATTAATTAATGTATTTATTTGCAAAAAAAAATATTGACTTGTGAAAGGAGAAAGTGTTTTGATGAGAGAGGCTGCTGCCTGAGTCATCAAATGGCAGTTTTGGAATACACTATTGTCATTCACAATACAATACAATACAACTTTATTTATAAAGCACTTTAAAACAACACCGTTGGCCAAAGTGCTGTAAACTAACACATACAAGCATAAAAACTATGAACTCAACAAATACCATAAAAGTAATGAACTACCAAATCATAAAACAGTAACAACAATAGAACAAATAACATAAAACAGTAAAGCCAACATTTCAAGCTGTGTTAAAAGCCAAAGAGAAAAAATGAGTCTTCAGAGCAGATTTAAAAACAGGAAGTGAGTCAGCTTGTCTGACGTGCAGAGGCAGCTCGTTCCACAGTTTAGGGGCAGCGACTGAGAACGCCCGGTCACCTCTCAGCCTCCTGTTGGACTTTGGGACGGCCAACAGCAGCTGACCTAAGAGCGTGAGGGAATGTACGGCAGGACAAGGTAGGACAGGTACTGTGGGACGAGGCCATGAAGACATTTGAATACAAACAAAAGAACCTTAAAATTAATCCGGAAACGAACTGGGAGCCAGTGTAGCAATTTAAAGACTGGGGTGATGTGCTCTCGTTTTATGGTGCCAGTTAAAAGACGAGCAGCAGCATTCTGAACTGGCTCAGACCCACATAAAGTGAATTGCAATAGTCCAGACGAGTTGTGATGAAAGCATGGATTAAAATCTCAAAATGATGTTGTGACAGGAATGGTTTCACCTTGGCCAGTTGTCTCAGGTGATAAAAGCTGGATTGACCACAGATTTAATCTGAGCATCCAGTTTAAAATCATTGTCCAGCCTCACACCCAGGTTGGTAGCTGTCTCAGTCAGATGTTTGGTTAAGGGACCCAGATCAACTTGGACTTTAGAACCATCACTGGACTTAAACAACAAGACCTCCGTCTTTTTCTCATTAAAGTGTAAAAAGTTCTGTGACATCCATGCTCTGACTTCCGCCATACATCCCAGGAGTTGGTTCAAGGCGTACTGTTTATCTTTTTTCAAAGGGATATAGATTTGGCTGTCATCGGCGTAAAAATGAAAAGAAATACCATGTTTCCAGAGAATATATCCCAGAGGTAGTAAATAAAGGGAAAACAGAAGGGGGGCCAAATACAGATCCCTGATCAGTAATTGGACCCCTTAATAGACAAATTCACGTCTATTCATTTCCTTTGCCTCTACACCTGAGCACCCTGACTGTCTCTCAGATGAACAAACAACAGCTCATGGGGAGAAAACAGTTGCCTTTGGGCATATGAAGGGATGTAAACTCAGCCATCGTCTGGTTGCACACAAGATGATTGTTGGGAATGGTTATGTGCCAATGTAAGGGTGGCCTCATTTAAACAGTTTACTGTGGACACATATACACATGCACAGTTTTACTGCTACATTATAAATACTGTAAAAATACGACGAAAATACCAACTTTCTGTCATTGTTTTTCTTGATGGGAATCTAATCCATCTTTTGCTTTACTTCAAAATAAGGAAAAAACCCAGAAGATGTGGTGCGAAGGTACACGGAGAAGATCAAAGTAGTTCCAGACGAGGTAAGAAAAGATCCAAGAACTCACCCAGAGGACCTAAACATTTCTGTACCTTCAGAGAGATACAGAGAGGGAGAGATCCACAGAATGGCTGCATATTATTAATATTATCTCTTCCAGGACTGTACCATCTGCATGGAGAGGCTTGTAATGTCGTCAGGCTATGAAGGCATCCTGCAGCAGAAAGGCATCAAGCCAGAGCTGGTGGGCAAACTTGGCAAATGTGGTCACATGTACCATCTGCTGTGCCTCGTGGCCATGTACAACAATGGCAATAAGGTGGGTACAAGCTTGTGAGCCAGACGTTGTTATGATATCACTCAAAGCCTTCCAGTTTGACTGCTATGCAGGATTCTGCAAACTAATCAGGGCTTCATACTGCTGCAGACAGATGGGGGTCTTATATACAAATCTCATCTCTCCTTGCTCACTTTATTTTGCTTCTGTAAAATACAAGCACATCACTTACTTTTTCAGATGAGACAAAACATTTTCTATCAGCCAGTTGTGCTGCTGATTGAATCGGAGTATGTAGTGCTCACAAGCATGGTAGTGAGAATTATACTGGCTTTAAAACAAACTGGCATTTCCAGTTCACAGCTGTTAAAAAATGTAAGAATGTGAGGGATACTTTGAAAGTCTTACTTTGAAAATAAAGCATTGAACTCTTGTCTTTTTTCTTCCAGAAGTCGAGACAAAATGTGTAAATTTGCTGTTGGGCAAAGAAACTAAAAAGCTAAAGTTTGCATCACATTTCTAATGTTTTAAAGTTGAAAAATGAGAATAGGAAGACTAAATAATAAATCTTACGGTGGCAATGTAGCATATCTTTTGCTGAAACTCTGAATGCCTCACCAAATGGAATATTTCCAGACACGTGTGCTCAAACATGCACCATCTTCAAATTGATACTGATTTCAAACACGGAAAAAGTGATATTTTTTTATATATATTTCCTACTTTTAAGGATATGTTTGCAAACTTGTTGCTGTTTGGTGCAATGCTGTTAGCATAGCTTGAGGTTTTTTTTTTTTTTTTTTTTGAACAGCTGGCCACTGCAGCCTAAACAACACTGCAAGAGTGGAGAAAATGAGCAATAAAGCTGACCACGTCAGCAAAGCAGCAGCTCAACAATTACAGTAAAACACTGAGCTGAAATTCACCATAAAACTCTAAAACTGAGGAGAGGTGCAGAATCAGGTGGTAAATATCACTGTCTCAATACCTCTTTCACAATAAGTACACTGGCTCACTTTAAATAATAAATTATTGATCAATAGCTTATCATTTTAAGCATCACGGTTTAGTTTTATTTCATTAATGCAGACAAAAAACTTATAGATATACGCAAAAGGAAAGTATAGAGAATATTCATTTAGGTAATTTTATGCCTGTAAACAAAATGACAACATCAAATTTATAACTGTCAGTATCATTTTATTGTGATTTATAAAAATGTGTTGAAATTTTTTCAATTTTGTTTTACTTTAAACCAGGATGGCAGTCTGCAGTGTCCAACATGTAAAAGCATCTATGGAGAGAAAACCGGCACTCAGCCTCCAGGGAAGATGGAGTACCACGTTATCCCCCACTCCCTCCCCGGATACCTCGACTCCAAAACCATTCGCATCGTTTATGACATTCCTGCAGGAATGCAGGTGAGACCTGACTGATGTCATTCAGTCCATCACACTGACATTTTGTTTGCATGAACTCACTGCATTTCTGCAGAAATTTATTCTGAAGGGTGACTTTTTTGAGGACACCGTCAGTTTTAAAGATCAGACTCTGGATTCGGTTTATCTTTTGATGTATGATGTATATTGTGCTAATGGGCAGCAAGAGATGAAAGAGCTGCATATTTTCTTCTGACTGCTGAGATTATCATCAGTCAATAAAGTGACCTTTTTTTCTGCAAGCAGAAAGTGAGGTTGTTTTCACACCTGATACTCCGGTAGACTCGGTTCGATTGGGGATCAAAATTCAGAACATTTTACATTTTCAGCTGGTGCAGTTCACATTCACACTGCACTGAGTCAATCGAGCCAAACTGTCCACAAATGGACTAGAGTTTGATTAAAGTGGACCAAACACCATTAGGGTGCATTCACACCAGCCCTGTTTAATCCTCTTTAATCGAACTCTAGTGTGTTTGCCTAGAAAGTCCGGTTTGTTTGGGGAGGTGTGAATGTGCAATCGAACTCTCATGCGGACCAAAAAAGTGAACTCTGGTCCGTCTAAATACCTTGGTCTCGGTTCGGTTGAAGTGAACTCGAGCACGATTTAAATGCAAGCAGACCGGAGACCGCTCCAAAAGCAGGAAGTGGACTACAGAACAGGGCATTCTGTGTAAATACAACCGATACAAACGGGCATTCCTCTTACCTGATACGCAGCCGTCAGCCACTTTGTGTGAAAAACAACATTCTCCATGGTCTTCTGCCTCATCTTCTGCTCATGCTGAGTCCATTGAGGAACAATGTTTGTTTGGCACATGTGCCACAAACAAACAGAAATCCTAAAACCACTCAAATTTGACGATTTTTGTTTTTATTTCCTGAAGAAGTGTCTTCTTCAGAGGTTTTTGTGTCGTTTCCTTCAGTAGTTCTTGGTGCAGCGCCACCACAGGCAAGGGGGGGAATAGTTTGACGTGATTGACAGTGCAGTGTGAATGTGAACCAGCTGAAAATGTAAACAAATGTTCTGAATATTGGTCCCCAATCGAACCGAGTCTACCGGACTATCAGGTGCGAAAACAACCTTAGTCCCCAGGGTCAGAATAGTTGAGGTCATGACCACTCTGGTCAACAAAGCAGAACAATGCATCATTACAGGAGACAATACTCTAGGTGTGCTGCTTCTCTGCCCTCTCGTGCAGTACATGTACTTTTACACTAGTTTTGAATAAAGCTCATCCTCTGGGGATTATTTATGTTTTCTACACAGTTTCCTTGTAACTGTTTTTTTTTTTAATATATGTATATGTTTTTCTTCTTGACATTTTCATCAGACCAATGAGCACCCCAACCCCGGTAAGAAGTTCAGCGCGAGAGGATTCCCTCGACACTGCTACCTGCCTGACAACGAGAAAGGCAGGAAGGTAATCCTCGACACCAGCACCAGAGAGCAAACGCACTGCTCGTTTCCTTTTTTGTCGTACGTTTCTTCCTCGTTGTTTTTCTTTCCAAAAACTCCAGGTCTTGAAGCTGCTTATCATGGCCTGGGACCGCCGGCTCATCTTCACCATCGGCACGTCCAGCACCACCGGAGAGTCAGACACGGTGGTCTGGAACGAGATTCACCACAAGACAGAGTTTGGCTCTAACCTGACCGGCCACGGCTACCCTGACCCCAACTACTTGGACAATGTGATGACAGAGCTGTTGGCACAGGGTGTCGGAGAGGACAACCTCAAGGACAACTCCTAAACTTCACCCAAGCTAACACCCCCTCTTGGGTTGTGGACTAAGAGCAATAGAAGCAGAAATGAAGGTTCCATGTCCGGTTATCTCTTGAACCATGCCTTGAGCATGTCCCGCCGGTGGTAGTCTCTCATAAGACTGAGGATACATGAACTTTTTTATATTTCTGCTGAAAGCTGCAAGTCAACTATATTTAGCCTCCTGTAGATTCAAAGCGACGCCGTTCTTCTGCACTTGGAGTTGAACTGCAAAGGGGCCAAATCAAACATAACTGTAAAGGCTACGCTGTTGAATGCATGGCCCCGACTAACGCTGCATCATGAATGTCCAGCAAATATCAGCAATAGGGGGAAGGTTTCAGTAGTTCAGCTGTTTGATATCATGAGACGAAAGAAAAATATCAACTTTAAAAAGGATCACACACTGATTTTTTTTTTTTTTTTTGCTTGCGTTACACGTTCAGAATGATCTCATGAATGTGCTACAAGTACTTTAAGCTGCTGGTGCCATTTTTTTAAAGAGGATTCAGGCTTTAATGATGTCATTTAAGGTTCACGTAAACCTTTGATGCAACAAGTTGGTTAATCGGTGAAACCGAGGCAGGTATTTGGGAGAAAAAGTGTCGTGCGAGCTTAGCTTTGCACACCGTTTGTGAGGAAACGTGTGCAACGAGCGGAAACGAGCGACATCTTGCAGCGACGACTCGAGACGCTGAGCTCACGAGGCAGGATTTGCACCCGTGCTCCAAGGTTACACTCGCTTGTTTTATCAACGTACTGATGAGGCTGCGAGTCTCTGAATGTACAGCCTGCGTTGTTACTCTCCCTGCTGGAGCAGCCGCCGGCTCGATCCATCATGCTGACCATGGAGTGAGTGCACGCTTGCTTTGTTTCTGCTCGCTGCAAGTCCTTGAGAAGAACAGCGGCGCACGCTCAAACTTTCAGTTTCATTCAGGAGCTCCTGTTTTTAATCCTTTAGGCAGCAAACGGCTCAGCTAGCCTGGAAGGTGATCAGTGAAACATCTCATTTCCTAAGCGATCCTTCTGTGTTGCTTCAGCTCCGTTTTCCCTGCTCCTCCGCTACAGAATGCTTCACTTAAGGAGACATGCTATGCAGCTCCAGTATGTCTTTTATTCCCATCAACCCCCTCTTTCCCCTCAGATTTCATGCCTGTGAGCTAAAGGGTCTGAAGATCCTTGTATTATTTCTGTACTCTGAGAATAAACACAAAGTATCTGATAAGTTTTAATGAGATGGGGAGCTGGTATAAAGTTTAGTGGTGGCCACCAAGCTGTGGGGTAAATCTCAGTCTTCCATAGCACTTTCAGGCAACTTTATGTTCAACTGGCCTTTTGCTTTTTCGTGTGTAAAATGTCGTAGATTGCATTTAATTCTGTCTTTTTTCAGGTTGATGTTTATAAACTGGCTTGTGATGCTTTAAAAAAAAAAAAAAAAAATATATATATATATATATATATATATATAATATACATTTGCAGATGTGATATACCTTTAACTTCAAGCTCAACTTGAGTCAGTGGTGTAGGTTTAGTTTATTTTTATACTCTTATGTATAGAACAACATAAAGACCGTCCCAGTTATTTATACACAGGCACATGAACTCATCAAATCTGGCAGCATTTGTCAGTTTGTCAGGGACTGAAACATGTCATGGACGTCTTATGCTCCAAAATTCTTAGCGTACGCTGCTGTCATTATTTAATATTGGATCTGTGTAACTGAGTTCCTGTTGGATGCTGTAAAATACAGTAAATGGGATTTTGTTGTTGGTGGAGGGGATTTAGCTGTAAGAACTGGGCCCTGAACGCCCCGCAGAAGAGCCAGTTCTCCTACTTGTCCAGAACATGAGGATGGAGGTAATCAGCCAGATTGTTAAGGTCTGGGGTAAAAAAACAATAATCCTGGGTCAAATTACAAATAACATAAAGGAATCATTTTATGACTGGTGCGATTAAGCTTACTTATAACTTTTTATAAGGGAAACTTAATTTGTGTTACTAAACAAATCATCCAAACGAACGTTGCTGTCAGACAGGAAGCATTATTGCAAGTAACCTAGTAAAATTAAGGATTCAGTATTTTTTGTTAGTTTTTTTTAAGTGCGTAAAGTGATATTTCAGTTCTTTGAAAGTGGGTTCTATGACATCAGAAACAATCATTATCTTACCTGTTCTAGTAACTCTGAGTTACACTAGTCCCTCTCTACTTTGCGGTTCGTTTTTCATGGACTCACTCTATCGCAGTTTTTCAAAATAAGATTGGACATGACACACAGTTGGCTGATTGATGGATGAGCCGCACGATGTGCATTAATTTTTTTAATTTAAAATAAATAATTTAAAATTATTCAGCACCTGCACCCTAGAAGCTTCTTCCTGCAGCACGTCAGGATCTCCGCTCTGCAGCGTAGAAGTGGGCATATCCTAGAAGTGGGCGTGGCCGAGAAATGGGCGTGGTCGAGAATGCTGACTGGTGGATGACATTCGGTGCTCTTTTAGAGCCTTTAGAGTTTAGAAACATTGTTAAGAATATTGAGTAAGTAACTATTGAGTATTAAGAGTGTGGGAAGGGTTTAAAACACCTTTACATATGTATGTATATATATATATATATATATATATATATATATATATATATATATATATATATATACACACACACACACGAGTGAGAGAGAGATATGAGAGAGAGAGACTAAAATTAATACTTCTTGTACTACTGTTCCTACTTCGCAGTTTTTTTTTTACTTATGACGGGGGCAGGGTATGGATCCCCCCATGATAAACGAGGGACTACTGTATATCAACTTGAAGAAATAGATTGTCTGATCGAACACATGAACTAACAGTTGGTTTAAACTGGACCAAACCAAAGTGAATTGCTGCCATCTTCAAAACAACTCTAATCAAACATTTCAGAGCAGTATGAGTAAATAATATTTTATAAACATTTACACTGATGTCAGTTCCACATTACATAGTTATTCTGCCAGAAATTTCAGCCAGAGAGGCATCGGAAGTGCTACAGTTAGCTATTTGCGCTTAAAAATAACCGTATCTTCAATGTAAATAACCGTATAATGCAACACTGATGGTGATGTAAAGGTTCATAAAATAGTGCTTGCATGCTGATACATTTTTAAGATTGGAGTTGTTTTAAGACAACATCCTAATTTAATCTTCGTCTCAATTTAACCTGTCATTCTGGTCAGAATCAAACCTCATTTCTCCAAGACGAGTTAATTTAATGAGTTACTGCAACAGGTAAGATGTTTTGTAAAATAACCAGGAACCTCACTTTAAAAGTTCTGAACTGTTCCTTTAACACCAAAATCTAAGCAATATGGACCCAGGTTTTTTTCCTTCACACCTTCCTGACAGTTTCTAAAACTGGACATCAAACGAGAATGCTTTTTTTTTTTTTGAATCAGGGAATTAATTTCCTTGTCGGTTCAGTCAAAGTGTCAGTAACTAGAGGAACAGTCATTGTCTCAGTACAGAAGAGAGAGATGGTCTTTATGCAATCCATTATTTTTAAGGCGTATTAAAGGACTCTTGTAGCACCGCGGCTGATCTCTGCGTTGAAACGACGGTGGATGTTTCTTTTATGGGGTGCCTACCTCCTGGTTTCTAAACAAACGGTCGCAGTCTACGTTAACAGGCTCTGTGTTCAAGAACATATATTTTTGATGTCTTTTTTTAAACGAATGTCTCTAAAAGAACTCTTGCGTGACTTTCCTGTATTCTTACGATTGATTCCACACTGTTGCATTGATTTAGAGTAGAAGAAGTGATCGAGATCACTTTGTCTCTATGAAGTATTTACAGTCGTACTCTTGTACTCTAAATGATACTTTAGCGTTTTGTGTGTGTATATACTGTTTTGTTTTTTCATTCAGCGTGATTGTGTCGGAGTGTGTGCGATAAGTGGGTCCAGAAGACGAAGCTTAGGTTTATGTCCTTTAAAGATCCAGCTTTGTTCCAGAAGTGCATGTCGACCAACCTGTAGGTGTACTGACGACGCATGGCTCTGTGTATGACATCATAGCGCCTTTGTGGGTTTGCAGCTTACTTTAGTTAGAAAGGTTCCCTCTGTTGCTGTGATTCATGGGTGTGGGGTCAGTACAGCGTTTGGCTCCTCTCCTCACACTCCAGACATAAACCATCTGAATGTTTTGCATTTTAAGCGCCCAGTTCAGGTGCCGTTTTAACTCCATGGTTATTTTTCATTCTCTCGAGCAGTGTGGCGTAAGCTAGGAGCAAGCTGAGAGATACTGTTTAAACTATAAAAGGGCTTCTTAATCAATTGATCTTTATTGTGATGACCTTGTTGCATGTTTGTGTGTTTTAACTGTGGGGAAAAAAAAAATAAAATAAAAGTTTATGTGCCTCCGATTCATTTTTTTAATATATTTTTTCAAGTTGCCAGCTGTTGGTGTGTTTAGATCCAGGATTTCTCTGCTCCTTGTATGGATATAAACGAGCGTTGCTGGAGCTGTGGCGTGCAGCAGGAACATTTCTCTCTGGCAGTAAATTTGCTTTATGGTCATTTTCTGTCTCTGGATGCTGTAAGTTGGTGCACGCAAAAGCGAGCCGTGGGATTTATCGAGGCCGGAGGTGATCCCGTTCCTCATTCGGCAGCAGCAGCAGCCATCAGGGAGACTGCAGCATCACTGCAGGTAGGGCCGCTCTCATTAGCATTTTAATGTCTGGCTCCTGTGTTGTGAAGGTTGATGTTGTTTGATAAATTGATTTATTTGAGGTTATCAAAAAGATAAATAAAAAGACTCTGATCCTGTTCTGGGATCAGCAGAAACAAAGCACCGTTTAGAAAGTTATGAATACATTCGTTAAACATTTCACTTCACATGAACACAAATCAACATAAAAATTGTCACTTTATTTTTTTTTTCTGCACAAGATAAATTTGACTAATAATTTAATAAACAAAACAGTTTTCTCACAGGTAATACAGCTGTGACTGAATGAATGACAAGCACTTATTTATTTTTTTACAAAACTCAGTAATCAGGAACATGAAGTTCACAAACCTTTAAAGATGACTGTGGTTCTAAAAAGGTTCTGTCCAGTGGCAAAATGGGAAAACAAATTGTCACAAGTGGAAATACACACACACATAAATAAAAAATAAAAAAAACTAGTGCGAAATCACTGGAAAATGTGTTAATGTGGCGGGAATAAAAGAAACACTGAGTAAAAATTTAGGAATTTTAATTTGTTGATACACATCAAAATTAACTTCCTGAGGAATATGGCTTGTTTGTTGTAATCTTAAAAAAAAAAAAAAGGTATGAAATTGTAAAACGTATTAAAAAGTGGCCTAATGATCAGCTTATATAAACAAATAAAATCAATGCACATTATCAGCTTTTAATGCCCATAGATTAAAAAAACATGTTTATTATCATCAGTTCTTATTCTACTCACTCAGATATTTTGATCTTATTTTGCACATTAGTGTAAAACTATCAGCATTTATAAAGTAGTGTTAAAATGCTTCTCCCACATGTTGCACATCTCGTGCTCTGTAGACTGACTGGTTTGTTCAGGTTTTCCCAGATCAGGGGTCTGCAATCTTCTCAATCAAACAAACAAATAAATAAATATGTTCCTTTTCCCCATAAAAAAAAAAAAAGACCAGAGCTGTGAAACCTATAACACAACTCAATAGGATTTGACGTGTGCAAAACAGCATTTTGTTTTTTATCCCCTCAATAAATTGCAACAAATGTCCTGATGCATGCTCAATAATCCAGGTAGAAAAATCCAAAAAATCTTACAATGCTGTGATTGCTAGTATCACTCAGCCCTCTGTGAACAGTAAACAGCCATCAGTGTGCTAATGATCCATTGTTAGGCTGATGGTCCTTCTTGAGCATGTGATCAGCTGGTTTTGGTTGTCAGCAGCAAACTGGTTGATCCACTCTGAGAAGGTGCTATTTAAGAGACTGAGCTGAAAACAGCACCTCAGACTGAGGAAGTCTCTTGGATGAGAGACGAAACGTTTCTAGATTTTTTTTACTTTGTTTTGCTTTTGTTTTTTTGAATGTCCAGAGGACCAGATTGAACTTTTTTGGATGCAACAAATGTGTTAAAACTGTTTAATTTCCTGGTTCATTTCAGAGGAAACTAACAGAATAACAAACCTTTACAGCATCATGGTCAATTTGTTTTGCCCATCTTTTGTTGTTAACAGGCTCTCACAGCATTTTTTTTTTAAATTAATTGCATAAATTTGGACAGAAAAATTGCAAAAATTTGTCTTATGATCGTAATGAATATTATTTATTTCCGTGTTAGATTTGGTTGAAGCTACAAAAAAAAAATCTGAGACACCAAAGAGCTGTATGTGGCCCCAGAACCACAGGTTGCAGACCCCGTTCTGGAGCAAAGATCTGATCCATTAAATTTTCTCTTCTTGAACCATTCGACCTGCCTGATCTTAGAGTAAGGATTCCAATTCGTTCTGTATCAAAGATTACTAGTGTCCTAGTTTTACATACAAAGTAAAAATTAAAATTAAAAAATTGGCATTTCAATATATCCTGACACTTGAGTCAGCTAAACATTAAGACTTTTCAAATGGCTACAACTCGTGGACAGACATAAAAAATAAATAAATAAAACAACGCGAGGCTTAAGTTAGCACCAAACAAAAGCACATGGTTTTGTATAAAGGGTACAAAGCAACATGTAAATAATACTAGTTTTGCTCACTGTACAGGCAGCGTTAAACTGAGGCGTTTGCATCACCATTTTATAATACAACGGAATAATAAATAACCTGTGATGACACTGTCGCTGCTACATTGTGGTCATGGTGATGAATCGCCTCAGCCAAAGCTCAAGACACAAATATCAAAGCGTTCAGGTACTGTAGATCACACCACAAGAAGCGTTTTGCATAAAATGTGACTGAAGTTCTGTACAATATCTGAAAATATAAAAGCTTCTTTTCACATTGAACAAGTGCATGCAGGCCATGCAACGGATCGCTTGTTATCTACAAGGAGATTTTAAAAAACGTCAAGTTGTTTCATCTTTCAAAGTTCCTCGCGCCCCTTTATCATCAAGTATCGTAATCTCCTCCCCGCGCTGTCATCAGTGGCACTCGGAGAAAAACAAAACAGATTCAAATCAGCTGAGTCCTCACATTTCTTTAAAATAATTAAAAAGCTGGAGGAGGTTGCACCGTGTCGACACTTTTTTCCCTTCCGTTACAATCAATAGGAGGATCTTTGCTCATTTTGGTGCTCTTCCTCCTCCAACACCTCCCTCCCACTCAGACAATAATAAATCCCATAACGTGCTCAGTCTAGGGATTCAAAATGACACAGGCGGCGTCCTCTTTCTCTTTTTGTTGAAAGGTGGCGTGAGCCTGCTGCAGATCCTCTATCACTGCCAGCAGCCGAGCGGCAACACACTGACCTGGCTTCATTAGCTGAACGTTGCACTCTGCGCCGTCTGCAAGACACAAACGCAAAGAATCACACACACCCACGTTCATTCAAATACAGCCAAACGCTGTGAAAACTCGAAACAATCTGAAAACACGCTTATTATTAAGTATATAATTCAGTTACGGTTCATTCTCACCTGAGTGAATATCAGAGTTTATCCTTTCTGTATTGCTTGATGGCAGGTCAGCTTCAGGCATCTCCAAATACTTCTCCCTGCAGTACCAGTCAGAACCATATCATCTCATCACTGCCTCCTATCTGACAACTGTTTCTGCCTTTTCATGCAGTGACAGACAAATGTATGGCTTTCTGAGAAGCCAAGAAGCAGCAGCAGCAGACCAGTGCGTTCCTGCGATGCAACGTAGACCTCTAGTGTCCAGTAAACACATCTACAGCAGGGCTGAAGCTGATGGAGAGTACTGACCTGAGGGCGTCTTTGCCATGCAGGAGCTGCTTGTATATCATTTGGGTCTCTACGTCAGGATCCAGAGGGTCGCTCCAGTCCCCCAGAGTGACAGCAGAGTGGGTTCTGCTGCAGCCTGTTACTGAAACACAACCTTGTATTGAACAGTGTTGCTCCAAACAGAACCACAGGAAATATTCACATTGATAATGACCATTGCATTTACTAATAAATATCACAATGTCATCACATGCACAAACAGTATCTCACAGATTCATTGGTAAGAGGACCGTCTTATGGTTCGAGTTTATTCTGCACTGAAGCAGCAAAAACATAGCCACACTTAAAGGCCTGACATTCCTTGAACGAATGCATTTTGACCACAAATTTCATTTCAGAGTTTTAAATTGAGCTCATCTTGTGATGAGAAATTACCGTTGTGGTCAGAAACGGCACTCAGAGTATGTGAAAGTGACTCTGTGCTATAACCAAATCAATATATTTAGCTCAGTATCTGACCATAACTGAGTTATAGCCTTTTTTTTTTGTTAGTTAATGTGATTAGCTGTGGCAGCCATGTTGACTTGGATTGACTTTAATTTGGCTGTAATTTCGTTGCGCTTCGGTGCAATGACTATAAAGCTGATTCTGATTCTTTATAAGTGACTCAGTTATAGATTTACAATAAATTATTCATATCTGAGAGTTTCATCGAAATTTGTCCAGTGGTTCATGACATATTTTGCTAACAAACAGGGCTGACTCAAACAATTATTGGTAGTGCTTTAAGTAAAGGTCTTCTGCGATGGGTTGCACTTGGAGTGTGTTGGGCACAGAGTTGCATTCAGGCCCAAACAATCTGACCCGACCTGGCCCCAGCCCATAGCCATTATTTCCAAACCCCACCTGACCCGACAAATTAACAGTAATTACAGGTCCGAACCCGAACACCCCACCCCCTTCATATTTTTAAGCTTTGACTGCTAACGGTCGGCAGACGCACACGGCTAGGGGGCAGAAGATCGGAGGTGAGGGGGTGTTTGTCCTTTCATAGCTGTCAAAGCACATTAAATCCCTGCTTCTGCCTGCATTCTGCATTATTCAGACATGGACCCTGCTCTGACATGTCTGCGAGGATATTTTGTGATCTCACCTGTTTGGGTCATCGGCCGCGCGTGTCCGCTGAGTGCAGTGGCTGAACGTCCATTTGGGCTGATGGATCGCTGCCTGGCAGTATAGTCCCATCTGAAGCTTAATTGAACCTTTTTTTACCTCTTTCAAGACCGGACAGCGTACGGCCAAATGGTCGTGTGCGGCTGGTGATTGTATGGCAAGCCACGTTGTCATATAATTGGGTCGTCAGCCACACGCATCCGCTGACACAATCAAAAGCCCCACGCTGGCCAGGCCCGCACATTAAGCACATTATTATGGCCTGGCCCTAATCTGGGTCGGGCCAGGCCAGGCTCTGGGTTCAGGTTAGAAATGACAGCTCTAGTTGGGCATGACTCTCAGCTACTACCACACCAAACTTTAGGTCAATATCTGTAAATTGGCTGTTACAGCCATCTTGAATTAACTCTAAAAGTTAATCAGTTGTAGTTCAAACTAATCTGGCCTCAATCAAGCACATCGTATTCGAGGTAAATGAGGGTGGAGGCAGCTGTGGGTGTCTTTCCCACCCACATCGTAATGTTGCTGGTCCGGGGGATCAAAGTGACGATCTTCCGATCACAGGCTTGCCTTCTCTAACCTCTGCGCCACCACTCCCCCTAGTCCAAGACCTTTTAGTTAAAGTGTGATAATCATGCCACATTCTGAGCCCTTGCAGGAACGTTAGAGGTTTTATTAGCAGGATTACCAGCCCGGTCCACCTGCAGGCAGCAGGTCCACTTGCCGCTCCGATGAACGCCCGGATGAAAAGAGGGCAGCATGTGCTCATTGTAGATGCTGGCTTTCCTTATCGCAGAAAGCCACTGGTTCAACTCATTCACATTCTGTTCAGGCAGGGAAATAAGAATGTGGTCAGCAGATGGGGAAATGTATCAGTCAAATGAAAATCAATGCAAACCTTTTGCTTATTGTTACAAAATAACGTTTTAAGGACATAATGCTGAAAACTGACACACTGAGTGGCAGGTGTGGACGCACCTTGCACTGGATGTACATGGTGTGCAGCTGTCCGTCGTTGTCCTGGGTGATGACCTGCATTACATTCTGCTGCTGAAAGGCATTTTCATCCACCCTCTCCACTGCGCACACACACTGAATGGGGATTGAGGAGCGCACCTGCAACAATTTTGCCACAAACCGAAACACCAATTAACACAAGTACAGGCCAGTAATGATGCGTCTTCCCCGTGCCTGAAACAAATTACATTATGATTTCAGTGAGATTAAGCTGCCATTTGATCGCAAACATTACCGAAACCGTTTCCCGTATAAATATAGAGATACTCTACAGACAAACTGAGACCGGACATGAAGATGACTGCCGTGGCAGCAAAGGCTACTTTTAAGTGTAAATCAGCCACTTCCATCAGGAGCTCTCCTCACTGAAAATGGAGTGCTCCAAACGTGGTGGAAAGGGTCCAGGACATTGTCTGCAAGCTGATTAGCAATGTTAGTTTGAATATCCACAGCCTTCAATTAACCCTCGCTTTTATTCCTGTCGCACAAAGCAGGACCTCGCTCAAAGAGGAAGCTTTTCAGAGGGCAGGACCGGGCTGTTCCCAGCTTCTTCTTTCTCTTATAGATGGTCAGTAAGAGGAAACTCTTTGTATAAGGGAGCAGTAATGATGACCTCAATGAAGATCAGCACAAAGGCAGAAAGGAGAAGGCTGAAAGGGTTTTTCATCTTGTGCTTGCTTGAGCCATACCTGTCAATCAAAGGGTATAACCACCGACTGATTATAAAAGAATGCATCAACTTTCAGAAGGAATGATTTACTTTTACACAGTTTATAGCTTGCTAACTAAAGACAAAAGCAAAGAAGTAACGTTTGTGTGAACAGCTTTTAACTCAAAAGAAACTGTCCAGATGACATGATTTAACCTTTTTTTAATACACTGTGCAGAGTAATACATAGCTGCACATCTACAGATGATTAACTTTTGGAATCAGTCCAACATATTATAGTCACCACAGCTAATAATGAAACATAAAATTGTTTAAAACTCAATGAATTTTACAATTATTGAACTAAAATCTGATGTGGTGGTAGATGAGTCTTTACAACACATACTCTGAGAATGACATCTCGTACAAATGCATCTATCACTAGTTGCTTGTTTACTGTGTGAACACTTTTGAAGCATTCACACTATTGTGATCCATTTCACATCCAGCAGTTTTCAAGCTATTTCAACAAATCATATATCAAAACATTCAGCTTCCCTGCTATGACTTTTGGTATTGGTGCAACTTTAGCTTTTTGAAATATTTAGTATTTCTGCCATTCTTTTTTCTCATAGAAAATGACTAAGCTCATTTTATATCTTTCAAATCTTTAGATCTGTTTACAACTTTTACTGCTCCTTTCACATTTTGATCTGGTTCAGTTTCTTTCAGCTCCTTGTGCAAATTTAAACTTTTTTCATCTAATTTCAGCAGATTTTTTTCAGCTGTTTTGTGCTCCTTTCACATTCTTTCTGCAAGCTTCAGTTTTTGCTTCTATTTCAGCTACTACTTAGCCATTTTATGCTAATTTTAGCTTTTTCAGCTACTTCCACATTTTTGGAGTTCCTTTCAGGTCTTTCCTTCTGGTACTTTAACATTATTTCTGCATTTTCAGGTACTTTTCAGCTATTTTTACTAATGTCAGCTTTTTTTTTTTTTTAGCTAATTTTCACATTTTTATGCTCGTTTCTGCTTATTTAAACCTAATTCAGCAAATATGTGTTTGTTCTGCTTTATTCTGCTAAGCTTGTTCTTCCATTTCAGCTACATTTCAGCATGTTTTTTAGATAATTTCAGCTGTTTTTCAGCAAGTTCTTCTGCAATAATCATTCACACTGTATTTTCACAGGAAATGCAATTTCTCTAGTTATAATTAAGATTATTTGATCAAACTATCATTCTTAACATAAGATGATCTTAGTTTAAAAGTCTAAAACTTTGTTGAAATGAACGACCTTTACTCATAATGAATCTGTAAAAGCTGACACACCACACGGGTCTGGTTTCCAAAATGAAACGCAGATGATTAATATAAATACTGTATGTCATGTAACATAAAACTTCAGTCCCAACCTGCCAATCAGACGTCTTGGCGTAGGACAACGTCTCACTAGTCAGCCAGAAGTAGCGCTTCTTAAAGGCGAAGCGGGACAGCAGCTGCGGTCCCTCTGCTTTGTGTTTGTGGAGGTATCCCTCCTTGACCGTCACTGAAGGCATGAAAACAGCCCTCTGAGGCACTGAAGACACTGCAGGGAGGAGAGGAAAACTGATGTTCAACCTGAGAGGCACAAGGTGGTGCTTTGTTGATGAGCAAACAGAAAACGGTAATTACTTCTACATCACGATACAGACCGTGTGCGACCTGAACCTTTTTCCAAAGAGGATTAACTAGTGCTTAAATCTGCAACATCTACAAATCCACCTGAAGGGCTCTAAATGTCAAACTGCTATTTAATAGAAAAAAAGGGTCCGATATGTGGACCAAGACTGATATCCGATATGTCACAGAGGGGCAGATGTTTCCCAACAAGAGGATCACTAACATGATGGTAAGAAAGCAGCCAGCACATGTTGAGTAACCCGCATGGCGTCTTACTCCAGTTCACCACCAGCTCATTAATAATGTCCTCCCATCTGCTGGCTTCCAGCTAGTTATTAATATTTCACCACGGAGTTTCACTTCATCCTGATAGCAGCTGCTCACCTAAACAGCATGACCTCTGGACTTGACTTTTGATCACAAGCGTGTTCAGTGTCGTCTTACCGATGTCATGATCTATGTCGATTAACTTGTCCAGGAAGTCTTTGACAGAGGCCACGCTGCGAAGGATGATGGGATGAAGAGGCGCCATCCATTGCTCCTTCCCATGACCCAGCTGAAGGCCCAGGTTGCCGACACTTTGTAGAGCCTGGCGACCATAAACACACACATTTTTCTGCTCTGCACTAACATCTTTCATCACATCAGATCTCGACAGCAGGTCTCAAAGTCAAAGATCAAAAGGGTCCCTTGAGGCCAAGCATGCTGCGAGGCCCTTTGTCCTGCCCACACCTGGCCTACGGCAAGAAGGAAGTCTATCTACTACCCTCTGTGATGCTCGGCTTTGAACCACTGTCCGGCCTCTGCATACACAGAGGTAAAAATAGCTCGTTGCTTCTTTCTGCAGAAAGATTCAGGACCACGGACAGCAACCACAGAAGCCACGTGTGGGAGATTTTCCTCTCACAAATATGCTATATTGTATCATTTTCCTCAATAAATAAATGAAGTATAATATTTTTGTCTCATTTGTTTAACTGGATTCTCTTTATCTACTTTTAGGTTATATTTATGCAGAAATGCAGAAAATTCTAAAGAGTTTACAAACGTTCAAGCACCACTGTATGTGGGATTATGAGCACTTCCACAAAACGTTTTGTTTAGCGGCACACACCTGCTGTAATTTCATCTGTTTGTGGAGCATAGTCTGAGGTTTTGACAATAACCATTAGATAAGATAAGAGCAGAGCAGATCAGATCAGAGCAGATAAGAGCAGATCAGATCAGATCAGGTCAGATCAGATAGAACTTTTGATCCCACATGTAATTGTTGTGCCAGAGTTTCAGTACAAAGGAACATACACAAGCAGGGCCGGCCCGAGGCATAAGCAAACTAAGCGGCTGCTTAGGGCCCCGGGGCCACTAGGGGGGCCCCCTAAGTGGAATTACCTTTTTTTTGGTAATTGTTAATATTTTAAGTTCAGCTTTTGCAACTTGTTGCATATATTTACATACAGTAGTTTTAAGAACTAATTATTCAACTTTACATTTATGTTTTTAACCATTTTACATGGATTCAAGTAATTGTTCATTTACATTATTTAAGTACTGTATTTCATTGACATTTTATTTTTTATTTTATTTTATCTTATCTGTTTTGCACAATTTAATATATTTTTATGCACCCAAGTTATTTTATCTGTTGTTTGTTGTTGATCTTGCACTACAAATTATTTTGCACATTACTCTTGCAGTTCTTTGGAACCAAAGATAACTCAGATGACACTTTTGCTGTAAAATACATCGCATACTGGTGTTTTGTTTTTTAAATTTTAGTAGCGTTAGATGATATATACATATAGGATAATGTAAATAGGGTTGTCAGAGTTGCAATGAGTTTATGTTAGGTGAGTGAATGATTTGATCATATGACTGTTGATTACAGTAATCCACATTATTAGCAGAAATAGAGGGCCCCAAACCAAATTTCCCTTAGGACCCCATGGAGGCTAGGACCGGCACTGTAGACAAGGAATCACACAAGATATAAAAAATAACAGAATATAAAACAATATAGAAATACCAACAATTAAGTTCTAAACAGTTCAGATGCATATTAATTGTATCCTATGTCCAGAAAGGGGAAGAGTTGAAAAGTTTGATAGCCACAGGGAGGAAGGACTTCCTGTGGCGTTCTGTGGAGCACCTCGGTGGTCTCAGTCTACGACTTCTCAAAGTTCAAAAGCTCTTTTACATCACCCTTTTCTTTCAATATTAGTCTCATTTCATATGCTATCGCCGTTTTGATAGATTTACACTGTATTCAATAAATGTCACACGCATGGTGTTTTAACATTAACAAGTGTTGTGTGTTTTAATATAAAGAAGATTACAGCATAAAAGAACTCAGATATACTTTGGGCTATTCTTTTGAGACTTGATTTTAAACCAAATATCTTAATTACATCATAAGCATAAATAATAACTATCCTCTACATACTTAGATTATTTTATACACCACAAAGATGCAGAAATATTTTGAATGGTCTTTATTTATCATAAAATTGCCTGACTCTTATGTCTCTCTGCTAACACTGTATATTAAAGAAAATAGAAAGAGTATATTGACTATAGTACAGTGAACATCTACAGGAGTCTTATGTTCCATATTTAACATAAAACTCATAATAACGCCCGTGACGTCACAGTTTGTTTTATACTCACTTAAGTGTGCTGTTGGAATATGAATAAATGATTAAAAGTAGTCTGAGTCGCCGAGTCGTACCTTGGCCAGGAGTAACAGTGTTCTGCTTGTACGGGTGTCAGCGTGCTGGTCTCTCAGGTGGAACAGTTTAGGCGTGAGGATAGAAGGAGCAAAAAAACGCAGGAAGAAGAATCCGCTGATGGCCAGGTACTTTACATCCTGTAAGTATCAAGGTGGCAACAAAAATCTGTGACTGAAGGACATTTTCTTTAAGGCCCTACAAGTGCATTCACATGCTCATTCCTTTTTTTGTTGATTTATTTTGGTGGTTAGCTCTAGACTGACCTCGTTCTCGGGTTCAGAGAATTGCTCTTCTACTCTCTTGTGCAGCTGTTTGAAGGCCACCCTCATAACCGGAGGACACTGATCGACCGAGGCCACGATTGATTCAATGATGCTGGTTAAATAGAGCTGCAGCATCTCCACGCTGCTGTCCCGAATCTCTGCCTCTGACACGGCACCCTTAAATGAAATGCGTCTTCAGGAACAAAGACACAGTTGGTAAACCACTAAACCCATTTTTCCACTGAAGGAGACACAATGGAAGACATTTTGTAAATCAGTTGAGTTATGCAACGACCAGTCCAGCTAACAAGCCAAGCCCTTGTTCATCTATTCTAAGTGACAGCCTCTTCACTACCAATTATTCCATTGCATGCCAGGGGAGCCTCATTTTGTGCTTTACTAACTAAATCCAAAAATACATATTTAGAGGGAGAGGTAAAGAAAAATAAAATTAAAATAGGCATATCTGCTACATATGCAGGGAGTGTTAGATCCTGGATCTTTCTCCACATCAGGGATAGATAGACATCTCAGGGGGCTCATAGCAGTTGCCAAGCAACAATCCTGTCCTTTAAATATATATATATATATATATATAAAGTTAAAATCAATTTTTTTTTTTTTTTTTCTCTCACATTCATATCTTGCTCCCATTTTTCCATTTGACCATTTAAACACATGGAATGTGACCTGTACTCAGAAAATCTACATTTTCTCTTTTTTAGCTAAAGCCAAAAACTTAAACCTACATTTGTTATTTATATTTCAGGAATGAGATTTTGTTATATGGTATTGTGAGGGGGGAAAAAAGTTTTAGATTTGTTTTTACCTTGTGCGGTTCAGGTCAATTTTACATGGGTCCAGCTCAATGTACTTCCTCTCATCAAAGATGCGATTGATGATGGGTTTCAACACGTCATGCAGATACAGCATGCCGACAGCCTGACAGCAAAACAGGACCCTTTACATCTCATTTATAACACTGGTGCAAGGCTTAGGTTAAAAATAAGTAAATCAGCTAAGCTCGATGGGAGAAAAAGGGGTTTAAGCACCCAAAAGAGAGATTTTTCTAGATGTAAACTGGTGCACATGCAAACCAGTGCTGAGTTTGCAAAATGATTTGGTTTGCAGGGAGCTGGCACAGCTAGAACAGGTACCAGAGGCAGGTCCACTTCAGAGAGCATGTGATGGCATCACAAGTCAGTGGATAGAGTTATCAGGCAATTGCCAGAGTGTCTGTCTGTGTCCTCATTTACCCATTCATACAGCACTCGAATAATCAGAGCTTTATCACATTCATACACTGATGGGACACACATTGGAGGCAGTGAGGGTTCAGTGCCTTGCCCAGGGACACTTCAACATGTGACTGCCGGTGGAATCGAACCCCCAACTCTTGCTTTGGAGTACGACTGGTCTAACCACTCAGCCCCAGCTGCCCCAGTACCGGCTGCAAAATCACCAGACACAGATAAGACCTCATAGACATAGACAGCACTATCAGTGATTAAATAAATTGGATTATGGTCACAACTGGATGATCTCTGATCCAATGGATTCATGAAGACACCCACATACCATCATGAGGGTTCTGGTCCATTAAGGCAGACCACACCAAGGCAGGGTATTTCTATTGTGCACCAAGCATAGCAGAGTCCCTGCCATCTGGACACGTGCTGTACTCGTTACAGGATCCTATGTCACCTCACACTGAGTCTTAACAACTGGCATCGGTGTAGGCTGCCATTAACATGAGAGCAGAAATGGTGCCACAACTAAGACGCATGGACTGATGGTAGTGGCGTTGCGTCATGTTTGGTGTTGACATTTAGTTCTGCATTAACCTGATTGACCTCATATGGCAGCACAGAGGGGAGAGGACCAGTTCTGTGAATGTTGCAGAGACACACCGGTGTTTCTCCTGACTTCATGGTGTGAGGAACTATAGGCTGTATTCAGAACATCTCTGGTGGTGACTCTGGGTGGCTTGATGGAACAGCATCAGTGACATCTTGAGTCCACATATCTTACTCCTTCTGAGACAGCACCCTGGTACAGTTTTTCAACAAGACAACACCTGACTACATTTGGTGCTTGTATTTTTGGACTGCTTGAAGCTCTTCCTGAGATCGGTCAGACTCTCTAGTTTGTCTCCAATCAAACATGTTTGGATTAAATTAGACAAAAACTCCTACAGAGTGTCATTCTGCTGGATCTCAAGGGCCAGCTTCAACATATGTGGGACAACTTGCTGCAGGTGAGGATACAACACCTGTAGGACTCCATTTAGCACTCAACCAGTGCCTGTATCCAGCACTAAGGGCGTGCCACACTCTACTAACATGAGACCAGCAGTGTACCCTTATTACCTCTGGTAGTATATATGTTGATCTGATATTGTAATCATTGTAATACCATTGCATGACCATTTTAACATGTGCAGTTTCACCACTCTCTAAGGAGATCTTATTAACTGAAAAGAATTAAGTGTACATTTAGTTAATTTAGGGTTTTCAAACGTTGTAAACACTGGCTAACATCTCAGTAACAAATGCTTTCTTGGTAAGACATTTAAAAAATACATCAACAGATATCTCAACGTACCTTCATGAATTGTTCCATGGCCTTGGAGGCAAGTGAGTTGGAGCGAAATAAAGTGTTTGGATCGGCTATAAGAGCAAAACAGAAAGGCAATGTCATAATGGCAGCAAATATTTCAAAGAAATACAGGAATACAGCTCAGAGTAAAACGAGCATAGATAACTGAAAAAAGAAGCACGCTCTAAAAATCACTTTTTAAATAAAAGCCATTAAAGTTTTATACTATTTTTAGCCAGCTTTCATGTGAGATTAAATACAAAGCTTATAATAAGTTGCAGCTCATTTCCTGTCATTTTTAACTGATATTCTAGAAAAATGTACGAAAACATTTATTTATTAATTAGGGAGAAAACTGTGGAAAGGAGTCCCAGCACTGAACACCTAAATTAATCTGAATTCAGAAGAGCCTCATCTATAGGGTGTCATTTGTAAAGTTACACAGTCAAAAATTAACAGCAATATGTTGGTTTATTTAGCCTTTCATAAAAGTCATAAGTCATATTTTCACCATGTTATTCATTTATAAATGTCATAGTTCCAAACTAAATATTTAATTTACAATCTAAATACTTAACTTGCAAGTTAAATATTTAGTTAGCAAGATAAATATTTAGTTCCACACTAAATATTTAGTTTACAAACTAAATGTTTATGTGCAAGGTGAATGTATAATTTACAAACTAAATATTTGATGTAAATTAAATATTAATTTCCAAGCTAAATATTTATTTTCAAAACTAAACATTTTATTTCCAAACTAAATATTTATTGTCCAAGCTAAATATTTAATTTCCAAACTAAACATTTTATTTCCAAGCTAAACATTGAATTCCTAAACTAAATATTTAGCTCAAACCTAAATATTTATTTTCAAAGCTAAACATTTAAATTCCAAAATAAATATTTAATTTACTAACTAAATATTTAGCTTGGACCTAAATATTTATTTTACAAACTAAATATTTAATTTCCCAAATAAATATTTAATTTGCTAACTATATATTTAACTTGCAAGTTAAATATTTAGTTTGTAAATTAAACATTTAGCTTGGACATAAATATGTAGTTTGTAAACTAAATATTTAGCTTGGAAATTAAATATTTAGTTTGGAATTACGACATTTATAAATGTATGAATGACATGGTGAAAATGTGACCTTGAAAAAAAAAGGTTGTTTTTTTTCTTACGAAAGGCTAATAAATAAACCAAAATATTTAATGTTACTTTTTGACTGTGTAACTTTACAAACGGCACCCCATACTCATCAGGCACATAAATACGGATTAAAACTTCAGAAACTGGCATTGTGTTTGTGAAGAAGAAACTAGTCAAACTGTGTGAAGTATTTTTCTTCTACCATACTTAAAGGCTTTTTTTTTTATATTGTGCAGTTTGATGTATTGTTATAAGCCAAGACACAACAGATAACCTGCATTTGCTACAACATCAACATAAATTATTTGAAGCAGAGGAAGTAACTCATCTCTGGAGACAGGACTGACTAGTCAGGTGAATTATTTCCACCTACAATGTCAGCAGGACTACTTTCATTGCTGCGCAGTGAGTGGCTGTGCAATAGTTTATTTCTGCTTTGCCCTCAGTGCCCAACTTTAATGTCTGGCTGCTCGCAGCATCTATTCCTGATCAAGCAGTTACCATTTGGATCATGTGGAGTTGCTATGGAAACGTGGGCACTATGCTTATTATCTCAAACTCCACCAACGGAGCCCAAAGACCAGAGCACAACTGTGTATGAATTATCTTGAGGCTATGGTTCGGAGGTAAAAAAAAAAAATATATATATATATATATATATATATATATATATATATATAAACAAAACATGACTAATCCAGACTGTGGAGAAGCTATGAAAATGTTGGGGTGAGTAAACAACTGGAATCAGGGTAGTAAATATAGAGCTGGTGGGCTTTTACCGCCCACACACAGACCATAACTGTGGCGATCAGAGACTTTAACGTCAGATCAGAGTCAAACTGAAGTAACCCTCACAAAATGAACTGAAAAAAGTGTCCCAAACTTTGATTCAGACTGTGTTTTGTGCAAAAGCATGTTTTTATCCCTCACTGCCAAAAGGTCAAGGTGGAAGATAATGTTTTTGTCCATGTGTGTGTGTGTGTGTGTGTGTCCTTGTTTATGCTACTTTGTGAGGCCCATTTTTCCAACTTATACTGCATTGTGAGGACCAACTGCTCCTTATGGGGCCCAAAGCCCGGGCCCCATAAGAAGAAGTCCCGTTGGTGGGTTAGGGGCTAGGTTTAGGACTATGGTGTGAATTGAGGATGTGTTAGGTTTAGGGTTAGGTATGTACTGGTAATGGTTAGGTTATGGATAAAGGTCATGGTTAGGCTATAGAAATGAATGAAAAATGAATGGAAGTCGTGAGTGTGTGTGTGTGTGTGTGTGTGTGAGTGTGTGAGTGTGTGTGTGTGGGGGCGGGGGGGGGGGGGTATCTGTTACCTAAATATCTCACCTCTGGATAGATTTAAATGAGACTTTTAGATTTAAATGAAACTTTCAGAAAGTAATCTTTGGAAACATCTGTTCAAAATGGCTGCCACAGCTAACTGGCATTAGCCAACATAAAATGGTTCTACCTCAGTCAGTTTTACAGATGTTAAACTAAAGTTTGATATGGTAGATGAGTCATGGAATGTTATTTTCCCAGTTCGACCAAAGAAGCTACGGCTTTGTTTTTTCTCAGCATAAGAGGATCTTTATCTAAACCTCTGTCTGAATTAAATTACAAGCTCCAGATCATATAAGCACAAACATATAGATAAGCATTTTGTGCCGTACTCTTACTTGTGTTGTTGACCTCCCGGGTGTTAAGGTAATCCAGGAATGGCACCACGAGGCCCTGTCCCAGATAGATCTTCACCAGAGTCATGGCAACATCCTGCCTGCTCTCTATGGTGGTCACGTCCTCCAGCATGGTCAGCGAGCTGCTGTCCTCCACCTGTGGAGAGGAGGACTCGGGTCACGGGCTGTGAACTGGAGTGTTTTTGGAAAGCAGATGGAGGAAATGTAACTCGTGGAGCGGTCTCTTGACATGATGACGGTGAACAAATGGGCATCCGTAGTGAGGACGAGCTGCAGTGCTGACCTCTGCGGGGGAGATTACCGACTCAACCAGAAGGTCAATGAGGGGCTGGTAGTACATGGACGGCAAAATCCGATCCTCCACCAAACGCACCTTCAGACGCAGCGCTCCCAGCTTCCCACTGGAGACAAATAAAATATGGCAGCAAGTAGAGAGTTCCTGAATTCTTCTTAGACCCTTTAAAAAAAATAGTCTAAACAACAAAAAATAAGTCATTTGCATTATTTTAATGAACTGATTTGATCTACACTACTGATGTTTTTGTTTTAAATCAAGCACCAAACTAAGACCAAGTTTGCAATAGTGTTTTATTATGCAGTCAGCAGAGATGATGCTTTCCCAAAACTAGAGGCATATAAATCAAAGTCAACAGATTTTGGTCCCTTATTTGGTGACAGAATATATTTTCAATGGCATTTGTCTCTTATTTACTATTCTGATCATCGTGTGCTCCTCTCTGAACCCCTTTAAATCACGACTCCTTTCCTAATAAGCTGTAAGATCCCCCTCGCTTTGACTTTTTTTTTTGTGCTTGTTCTAAAATTATCTGCAGAAACAGATGCTGTAAATGACCTGGTGCTACACCTGTGAATCTTCATTTAAATACATAACGGAGAGTGTGAAGGTGAACTACTTCCCCTCTTATGTGCATCTAAAAACACAGTGACTGCACGTTTTAGGTAATAAAAAAAAAAAAGAAATCAGACTCAAGTGTACAAAGACCAAACACTGCACAGATGAACACACCCATAATTCTCACCTAGTGTCAACCTCATTGTTTCCCAAGGGCAGCAAACGAAACCAGTCCTCTAGCAGAGGTGTTCTGTGCAAACAAGCAAAAGGGATTTCCACCTGTGGACATTTAGAGCGAGGATACAACATCAGCCAAAAACAGAAGACTGTTGTTCTTTGATGGGAGATAAGGCATGAGAGGAAAATTCATAAAGCCTGACCTTTCCCAGAAAGTCGTTTTTGCCCACCATGTCCCAGTCCCAGACCTCCACCAGAATAGCCCCCTCTTCACGTAGCTCTTCTGCTTCCAACTCCAGCTCTAACGTCTCTCCCCAGTGAGGAAACCGGGTCTTCTTTATAATCTACAATGGAGAATTAAAATCCAAACACCTGGTTATAAATTTCAGCTACAGTCAGGTGCTTCTTAAAATAATCTGAATTTCGTGAAAAAGTTCAGTTTTTCACGTCAGACGTTTCAGAAAGTGAAACTCACATTACACGCGGAGTGAAATATTTCGTCTTTATTTCTTGTCATTTAGATGATTATAGCTTACAGATAATGAAAAACCTAAATTCAGTGTCTCAGAAAATGAGAATATTCCACAGCCAGCTTCTGGTGGCTTTGTCTAGCTCTAAAATGTCCTGGTAGATGCTGAGCTGACTGTGGACTTCAGAAAACATAGTGGACCAGCACCAGCAGAGGACATGGACACAAACCAGGGGTCTGCAACCTTTATGATCAAAAGAGTCATTTTTACACCTTTGTTCATTAAATAAAATGTGTCCAGAGCCGCAACAAGCTGCTACAACTGTGATTATCAACTGGTGGCCCATGGGCCACTTTAGGTCTGTTGGAGGAGACTTTTGTGGCAAATAGGGGTGACATTATAAAGCTAAAAATATATAATGATTTTTAAAATTTATTGATATTTTTACAATTTAAGACAAATGAAAAGACCAGATTCTTGTAAAGAGGGGAAAATAGTTGTTTGTTTGTTTTTATTAAAAAAGCTATGAACTGCAGATCTATGTGATATTTTTAATTGTGAAAAACATAGAAATAATGCATAAAGTTAAAGTGAGTGTTTGCAAAAGAAATGAAAACAACTAAAACTGATAGCTCTTTTGCTGTTGTTTGTACAACAACTAATAAAATTCTGTTTTATGTTAGTTTTGGTCAAAGCTTGAAAGAGTCGCTGCAGAGGGACCAAAGAGCCGCGAGTGGCTCCAGAGCCGCAGGTTGCAGACCCCTGACCCAAACCATCACCGACTGTTGAAACTTCACTCTGGACTTCAAGCAACGTGGATTCTGTTCCTCTCCGCTCTTCCTCTAGACTCTGGGCCTTTGATTTCCAAATGACATACAGAATTTACTTTCATCTGAAAAGAGGACATTGGACCACTGAGCAACAGTCCAGCTCTTTGTCTCCTCTGCAGGTAAGACACTTGTGATGTTGTCTCTGGTTCGGGAGTGGCTGGACTTGAAGAATGAGACATTTGTAGCTCATGTTTAGAGTTAATCAGCTGGGTGTGACACCACGACATTACAATATTGAACCTCCACTATATTCTAATTTTCAGAGACACTGAATTTTGTTTTTTCATTATCTTTAAGCCATAATCAACAAGAAATAAAGGATTGAAATATTTCACTCTATGTGATATGAATCTATGTAATATATGATTCTCTTTCTAAAACGAGTGACAAAAATTTAACTTTTTCACCATATTCAAGTTTTGTGAGATGCACCTATACAGCCAAAAATCTGACTCTTTTTGGAATAAAACATGGGTGACATGCTTCTGACCAAAGGGCCATGAAAAGCACCTAAACAAATCTAATCAACAAATCTAAACTAAATCTGTTTTGATATGAACCGGTGCCTCTGGCAAATGTCATTCACACACCTGTGATGGAACAAATTATGAAAAGAATGTGTTGCGGTTTTGAAAAACAATCTAATTTGTCTTCAAGACAATATGTTCTGAGAAATGTCTGTTCATCTTTCAAGAAGATGACGTGAAACGACATCCTGCACACATTTAAAAATGAGGACTTTGACAGAAGAGGGGGCAGGGACAGACACGTCGTTAACAGAAAATGTGTGAAAAATATGAAACAATAATGAACATAGACTTCATACTGTTGCACAGCCATCTTTTCACACAAACGCTGCAGCCAAATACTAACATATATTTGTAGCCTTAATGTAAAAAATGCTCTAAGTATTATAGAAACTACTGTCAAGGTAACAAGTTAGTAAAAGCTTTACAGCCACAGTGATTTGTTAAACGTTGCAGTTTGAGATACAATAAAGATGGGTAATAATAAAGTTGTCAAAACATGAAATATCTCATCTTCATGTAACTTGTAACAAAATAAAACTCAATTCTTTACATGTACAGAGCTCACCGAGGTTTCTGCACTGTGGTTCTTGAAAAGAAGTCGTGCAAATGGATCCGATGTTCCAGAAATGTCTCTGGGCGCCACATCCCTGTGGAGATCATCGGATAAACAAGAGCGCCAAGAATAAATTTAAAAGTTAACTAAACTTCTGCAAATCAAACTAGTCAGTGTAGGAGCTATAGGAAAATAAAGCAATAGCACCCAGTTTGTTTGTGTTTTTTCAAACTTTCTTCACAGATATCTGAGCTCGGTTGAAAATCCAAGTGTGAAGCTCTGATTGACGAGCTAATTAGTGCCCTGAGTGAGAGATCAGAGCCTGGGACTCACAGATGGGGCAGCGAGTGGTGTGATGGTGGCAGGATGACTCAGAAGATACTGTGGGGGCCTGAGGGGTGACGATGAGTAGATCTCAGCTAATGGTGAAGCTAAACGCTCAGCCCCCAAAACTTATCTACACAAGAGATATACACTGATTCTTGTATTTCTGCTTACAATCACATCTCCTCTCCAGTAGGTTGAACATTACCTGGCTTCAATGACTTGACAACGCAGTGTGCTTTTCTTTATGCCTTTCAGAAGCTCCAGACTCAAGTGGATCTCTCCTTGGACTTCTTCATCAGGGTCAACCTTCGTCAGGTTCAACCAACTATCAATCCCTGACCAGAGCACACAAAGGAAGAGGCTGTTCGTTACAGCAACGAGGAAAGAAAACAGGCACAAGGACAAGAGCGGCCAAAACAATTGTTCATTTGTATGTTAGCAGGTCTTTTGTGCAAAAATTCTCTAACTGTAAGAAATATATAATATTATATAAAAATTAATAACAAGAAGTAATCAAAACAACTTATAAATAAACCCAGACAAAAACAGTAGATGGTATTCAGTTTTTACTGATATGATGATGTTTTTTTTCATGAAAAAAAGATTTTAGATACATTTATTAATGTACAACTAAAATAAAAGTGCAGGAGGATTTGGGAGAGAGGGTTGAGGGAGTCAAAGATCTTTAGTATCAAAGTCAGGCACCATATTTCATAAAACTAACATTGTTTGAAGGAATGCATATCTTTCACCACCTTGAATGCCAAACAAAGTTCTTGTACTACAAAGTATCTGCAAAGTGTGTGATGGGGAGTACTATGCGTTACTACCACATAAAATATTAACTCAATATTTTTAACACTGTAGCTCTTTAGATGTTTGCAAGTATCCGTTGTGTCAGCCATCTTGAATGGGGTTGCCCCCCAAAGATAACCTGTTGTAGCTGTGCATCCAATGATTATTTTCTGAGAGTTTCATTTAAATCCGTCCAATGGTTCATAAGATATTTTGCTAACAGACAAAACCATAAACACACATAATAAATACATACTGATGAACACACATTTTAAACGGATTATAAAATGTGTCGTCTACAACATGCAGGGCTACCTTCCTGTCAGATTATCAGCATCTGACTGACTCAGTCACATTACTAACAGGACCATGCTGCTAACGTTACCACGCTGCAAACGGTACCATGCTGCTATTGGGACCACGCTGCTAACAGTACCATGATGCTAACAATACCACGCTGTTAACAGTACCATGCTGCTAACAGTATCATGCTGTTAATAGTATCATGCTGTTAATAGTACCAAGCTGCTAACAGTACCATGCTGCTAATGGGACTACGCTGCTAACAGTTTCATGCCGCTAATATTACCATGCTGCTAACAGTACCATGCTGCTAATAGTACCAAGCTGCTAACAGTACCATGCTGCTAATGGGATCACGTTGCTAACAGTATCATGCTGCTAATGGGACCACGCTGCTAACAGTACCATGCTGCTAATTGAACCACGCTGCTAACAGTATCATGCTGCTAATAGTACCATGCTGCTAATGGGATCACGCTGGTAACAGTACCATGCTGCTAATGGGACCACGCTGGTAACAGTACCATGCTGCTAATGGGACCACGCTGCAAACAGTACCATGCTGCTAACAGTACCATGCTGCTAATAGTACCATGCTGCTAACAGTACCATGCTGCTAATAGTACCATGCTGTTAACAGTACCATGCTGCTAATGGGACTACGCTGCTAACAGTATCATGCTGCTAATAATACCATGCTGCTAATGAGATCACGTTGCTAACAGTATCATGCTGTTAATGGGACCACGCTGCTAACAGTACCATGCTGCTAACAGTACCATGCTGCTAATGGAACCACGCTGCTAACGGGACCATGCTGCTAACAGTATCATGCTGCTAATAGTACCATGCTGCTAATGGGACCACGCTGCTAACAGTACCATGATGCTAATGGGACCACGCTGCTAACAGTACCATGCTGCTAACAGTACCAAGCTGCTAACGGTACCATGCTGCTAATGGTACCATGCTGCTAACAGTACCATGCTGCTAATAGTACCATGCTGCTAATTGGACCACGCTGCTAACAGTACCATGCTGCTAATGGGACCACGCTGCTAACAGTACCATGATGCTAATAGGACCACGCTGCTAACAGTACCATGATGCTAATGGGACCACGCTGCTATCAGTACCATGCTGCTAACAGTACCATGCTGCTAACGGTACCATGCTGCT